ACTCCAAGGGGACGTTTCCCCGATCACTAGAATCTTAACCCGATCAAACCGAGTGTTAACCGTTATCTTCCCCTCATGTCCGTACAAACTGCCTCTTTACCTAATCCTCTACCTCGAGTGTCCCTTGGATCTTCTACAGGATGAACCGTACTATAAAAAAATTCCTAGAAACTTCAACTGACTTTTTCCGATTCTTTTAGTTTGCGTTTCCCTTAAAACTTCCTCATTGCACACATGCTTAGTCCATGGTATTCTAAGCCGAAACCCTTTACTGTTGCCTCAAGTTTACTCTTTATCTGCGAGGTAATTCGCCAAACCTCATTTCTCATTATGCGCCTCAAAATTTTCAATTCTTTCTGATTCTGAATACAAGTGCTCTTTTTGCTTCCTTAAAACTTACTCGTTGATCACATGCTCTGTCAATGATATTCTCAGCATCCTTCTGTATAACTAAATATCTGTTGCCTCAAGTCTCGTCTTCATCGGAGTGGAAATTGTTCAACATTTACAGCCATATAGGAGATAAGATATTACATATAAGTTCAGCACTCTTCTTTGTTTCTAACATTTTCCTATCTCTTAATACTTAGTTTAGTTTTTGAAAGGCATGATGTCCATCCTTCACTGCCATATAGGAGATTAGATATTACATAGCAGTTCAGCACTCTTTCCTTTGTTTCGAAAGACATTTTCCTATCTCTTAATACTTTGCTTAGTTTATGACAGGCATGAGGGGATTGTCCCTCATTTACTGCCATATATGAGATTAGATATTACATAGCAGTTCAGCAGTCTTTCCTTTGTTTCGAAAGACATTTTCCTATCTCTTAATACTTTGCTTAGTTTATGACAGGCATGAGGGGATTGTCCCTCATTTACTGCCATATATGAGATTAGATATTACATAACAGTTCAGCACTCTTTTCTTTGTTTCTAAAGACATTTTCCTATCTCTTAATACTTTGCTTAGTTTATGACAGGCATGAGGGGATTGTTCCTCATTTACTGCCATATATGAGATTAGATATTACATAGCAGTTCAGCACTCTTTTCTTTGTTTCTAACAACATTTTCCTATCTCTTAATACTTTGTTTAGTTACTGAAAAGCATGAGGAGATTGTCCGTCATTCACTGCTTTATAGGAGATTAGATATTACATAGCAGTTCAGCAATCTTTTCTTTATTTCTAACGACATTTTCTTATCTCATAATACGTTGCTTAGTTTATGAAAGGCCTGAGGAGATTGTCCATCATTCACTGCCACATAGCAGTTTAAAACTCTTTTCTTTGTTTCTAACGACATTTTCCTATCTCATAATACTTCATCTTTTTGAGTGCGTTTTCACTAATACGCTTTCGTGTCACATTTTGTGTCATGTTAAAACGCAGTATTTTTTTTTTAAATACGATGCCGAATTTACAGTAAAAAAAATTCTTCGGCAGTTAAAATTACCTTTGTTTAATTTAAATTGCAGCTGTTTAACTAAAGTGGCCGACTTGTGTTGCTTCGAAATGAGTAACATGTCGCAGCTGTGCGTTAACAGACGACAACTTTTACAATTTAAAGAAATCTGAAAATGTTTGGATGGGTGGTCTTACGTGTAAAAGATGCACGCTTTTTTTTCCCACATTTTGAAATCTTCAAACAAAGAATCTCTAACTACTGGAAATTATTTGGAGTCGGATTAAAACAATTTCAAACATTTTTTTGATATTTTAATCTTTTTGCTGCTGATAATTTAAAGCATTATTTTTTTCGTCCAAGTGTAAAGAAATGGTTTTTACCTTTTGTGATTCAATAAAAAGAAAATAGTCGGGGATTATTTATTGTTTTTCTTTGGAGTTGAAGAAAATCATAGGAGCTAAGGAAATTATAGAACGGGATGAAAAGTAAAGATGGACATAAATTTCGACAGCTGTGTCCAGCGGATATTTCAGCTACATAGTTCAGAATCCTTTGAAAGAGTACACGGCGCTGAAGACTGTTAACTGCTGAGAAATAATGATCTAGGTTGTCATTAAACATTAAGAGGGAATAATGTTAAGCAAGATTTTTTAGCGAAGACAAACTCCCCTTAATTCTTTACATTCATTTTTTCTTTCTGTAAATTCTTTCTTTTACCTTTTTCTTTCTTTCTTTCTTTCTTTTTTATTTATCGTTTTGTTTCTTTCTCCTTTCTTTCTCCCTTGATTTCTCTTTTTCTTGCTTTCTCTTTTTTCTTTATTTCTTTCGTTCTCTCTCGTTTTCATTTCTTGATTTCGTTCTTTTTCCTTTCTTTCTCTCTTGATTCCTCTTTTTCTTGCTTTCTCTTTTCTTTCTTTATCTTTTTCCTTTCTTTCTTTTTTGATTTCTTTTATATTTATTTCTTGTTTCTTTTTTTTTCTTTTCGCTCTTTCCATGACTCTCTCTTTCTCATATATATATATATATATATATATATATATATATATATATATATATATATATATATATATATATATGACGTCATATATTAAGAAATCCGACAATTTATTTATTAAAGACATTTTTTATGTTTAACGTTGTTATTTATAGATACAAGTATTTAAGCAAATGCTCTGTTTATGATAAACAGTATTAAATAACATTTACCGGCCTGAATGTCCGAGAAATTTTCATAGAAAATATTCGTTCTTTGACAGGATTCGAACCTGCATCCTATACGGAACCGTCATTTACGCTGACGTGCCTTACCTCTGGGCCACAAAGAACCTTTTCGGTAGACAAGGTCGAATTTACTGCTTATAAACTTCAATCTAGACAAGGATGCAGATGGGGTCCCAAGACAATCCTTCAGGACATCCATGTGTGCGTGATATTGCATGTGTGCATCAGGTGAGTGATAATGGTAAAATTAAGATCTTTGAGATATTCTTGAATACTAAAACGGTTAACTACAAATCTCGCTACCCTTGTGCGTAATTTTATTGCAATGCCCATTAAAATCTGAAAAGTATAGCAACACCTGCACTTTGTTCAGCTATTACATGAATTTATCATGACATGGTCTTGGTACGAAGCTATAAATGATTTCCTTAAAATATAACTTTATCAGGATTCTGATGATAATCGTAGACATTAAACAGTGTTTCCTTTCGTCAAATGAAACAGACTGTGGGAGAGATCCTAAGTCGTTAGCTGATCGTAAGGAAACTCTTTCTCAACAGCAATCTTGCAGGTATATCTTTTATGGTTATACCAACTTAATAAAATCGCTATGAACCTCTTAAAATGAAAGAGATTACAATTATAGCAAGTTTGATCGGCACTGAGTATCATTTTAGTTAAACCTGAGACTACTTCAGGTTGTGACTAATTGCCAACTTCTCCCCAAAAGTATCGACTCCCAAAAGAAATTGTTGACTCCCAAAAAAAGGATTAAGTGTTGACTCAAAAAAAGACTAAATGTTGACTACCCATAAAAAAACTAAGTCTCGACTCCCGTAAAAAAGACTAAGTGTTGACTCTTAAAATATGACTATGTGTCGATACCCAAACACAGACATTGTTTCCACCCCTAAGAAAAGTGTCGACTCTCAAAAAACACTATCGACACCGAAATATTCTCCAAGATACATCATCAGTCTAGGCCATCAATCAGGCACCATAGAGATATGAACAGATTGAGATAGATAAATAGAGAGAGTAGGTACAGATAAGATGTCCTAGCTCACCATTATCCTAGCCAATCAGAACTCGACGCCGATTTTCAAAAAAATATTTTGCTGCACCCAACTTGATCGGGGATCCTAGCTTTGCTGATGAAAAATGACTCCGAATTTAAGTCATCAGTTGGTCTCATCATCAACATCACAAATATCTCTCTACCAACAACCGACACCCAGACGGAGGTGTTTGTAAACTTACCGCCCCTGGCTTAGAATTACAGACGATACGATTTTTGAAAACCTCACTTACGGGGACGACGTGTGACGACGCACAGTATTTCCTTCTTGCAACGTACTAAAATATATTCACGCCATGTGAGTACGCTATTAATTCAGAATCTTCTACTAAGGATTGTGAATGAACAATTAAAAACTTCAAATAATGAAATTCATTTCTTTTTGCATTACAGGAATAGGAAACATTTTCCGACCAGTGGGTCGCATGAGATATGATTCATTATATGACAGGCCACACGACTAAAAAGTTCAAAGCTATTTTTATTAAATGGTGTAAGCATATGACTTAGAAACGGTGAAAAGCTAATATTTTTTTTAAGTGAGGCAATAATGCCACTAAGATGCAAAGGGGCTACTGAAAATGAAAGGCAATGAAAAAAACTTTACAAGGAACCGGAAACTCAATCCTAAACAGGAAACAAGTGGATAAACATCTACACCTGTTCAAATCTACTTAAGGTTACATACATTCATACTTTTATATAATAAATTCGAATGTCAATATGTCACACTTTTTAATTAAAGGGACAGAACTCTCTAACTTAAATTAGTTAATTTTGAATTCCCAAGTTTTCACTGCTGGGATTGTTATCGGCGATTTTTTATGTAATTTTTTGCGACGAATTTTTTGCACAATTTTTATAACTTGAAAATAAATCAGGAAATAATCCAAAATAATTCCGAAATTCAGCGAAAGTCACCCATGAAATAAAAATAATTGTTTGTGTGGAAAGTAAGGACCTACGTACATCAAATTATATTTAAATTAAGTGGCGGCAGAAGAATTATCGTTGAACTTTTTAAAAAGTAAGCTTAGATATTAATGCAATACTTAAATGCAGCGATCAGTTTTGAGTTCTTCTTTAATACCAGCAATACATTTTTGTAAAAAAATTATTACCAGCAATGAATGTTTGAAGTAAAAAAATATTACAAGTGATACATTTTTGGAAAAAAAAATAGCAGCAATAAAAATCTTGTCGGCATTAAATAACCCATTGAGGTTGATATGCCGTAAACCAAACCAAACCAGATAGGTTGGCTTATATGAATGTTCACGGAAAATTTCGGCGCATGCCAATATTCAATGTAAAATATTTTGTGCCGTAAGTATGAATTCGTATACCGTTTGCAATTAGTATTTTGATGAGACCAGGATTGGGTTTGGGCTCCACGTGCTTGTGGAATGACACTGATTGCTGCATTAGTATTCACTAGGAATTTATAGCCATTATTTTTTCTCTCTCTCTCTCTCTCTCTCTCTCTCTCTCTCTCTCTCTCTCTCTCTCTCTGGTGTTGACATCGAACGCTCGTCTCTTTCGGGTTTGTTACAATTCGAGAATATATAGCCTTCAATCGTCTCCGATGAGCTGCTTTCGCTGGTTCCTAGGCTTCATGAATTTAAGCGTTCAACTCGGCTGGCATCTCGCTCTCACCCTTTCACTGTCGAAACTGTTAAATGTAGCCGTCTCTTCTACTCCAATAGCTTCATGTCTCGCACTTCTCGCCCGTGGAACTCCCTCCTCTATTCCTGTTTCCCTGATAGCTATAATCTCCAACTATTCAAATGTAATGTCAATCGACGTCTCCAGATGCCTTGATCTATCCGCTATCCTTCTCTTCATCCTTTCCTCTATCACTCCTCTTTGCTCTCGCTCCAATTCTCTGTAATCCCTTGCATGCTAGTGGCTTCCCGCCTTGCTTGGGGTGAAACGCTTAAAAAAAATGTCTGCTTTGGGTCGTCGAGCGATCAACATCCGGTTTGCGTAGAAATATGCAAGAGGCGCAAAAGCTCCTAACGTCTCCGCCCGAAATCTGAAATTTTATTCATTCATTAAACCTTGACCTCTTCACGTTTAAAATTATCTATCTTTCCTGTTATCTTGCCTCTTCTTTCGCTAATACAACTCCACGCAGTAACCATCCACCTTGAGTGGCCCTTGGGCCTTGTATTGGATGAACATTAGCAATATATATATGTGTGTGTGCATGTGTGTTCATAAATAATTATATTGGATATACTACAACATGCGTAACAAGAAGACTCTCGTTACATCTCTCTGACTATAGCTCAATTCAGTCTCATTTAAATACACATGAAGACCTACCAAACACCATCCGCAACATACTTGTTGATAATGCAAATATAACAGCATCAAACACATGTACAAAAAGTCTAAAAATAATGGAAGAATTACTAATAAAAAAAGAATAAGCCAACACTCAATAATATCAAGTACGAACATGGCCACAATGTGGTGATTGGAAATTAAAACATTCTTACAACTCTAGATACGTACATAAAACAATCCATACATTCAGTTAAAAGCAAAATAATAGCTAAAAGTATAGCCGAAAGCGCTTGGACATACAAAACATTGGATAATTTCTGTATATTTCATGTCCAGAAAAGAAGAAAATTATGAGAGCACAAAAAAATTAAATAACAAAAAATTAATCGCAGTACCTTGTCAATCGATTTTAATGAAGCGTGTATAAAAGAGGGATTGCTGCCACCATATATATATATATATATATATATATATATATATATATATATATATATATATATATTAAATAATGAGAAAGAACAGTAAGATTTATAACCCGGTGTTCTTAATTTTTTTTTTTTTTAAAGTACTCAATACAATTCTGTAGAGAATAAACATTACAAATTTACAAATTTAAAAATCTGGTCCCATCGCTACACAGGAATTGCCATGTTTCAAAAACACAAACTAAAACTTTAAAACTAAAAACTTAAAATCCCTAGTACTGTTTCATTTTCAAGCGATTTTTGGAATATCTATGAATAAAATAATTAACAAGAACATCAGATTATAAATCTTGCTGTTCTTTCTCATTATATATATATATATATATATATATATATATATATATATATATATATATATATATATATAACTCAAACCCTAATATTATAGTCTTGCTCAGTCTTGTACATAGAGCTCTATCTGGATTTTATCCTCTTGAAATATATATATATATATATATATATATATTTTTCCCACTAATATTATCTATCTATCTATCTATATATATATATATATATATATATATATATATATATATATATATATATATATATGGCCTGACGATTGCGTCTGGCATTAAACGGCCTGTCGCCTGTAAGTGTTGACTTCAATATTCACTTTTATACTTACACAGGCTCTCTGATATTGAGCACATTATCCCATAAATATAGCACACCTTAAGAGTATATTTATTCATATATATATATATATATATATATATATTACTAACGAACATACATGAAGAAACTGGATAATCATATTATATGTTAGTAGTAGTGGTAGTGTTTCTTTAAATTTGAAATATCCGGTAGTCATAATTGGAGATTGAATAAGAGCAAATCTCCTGCTTTCGCCCCAATGTTCTCGTTCTCGTTCACGTCAACATTTTTCTTATGGTAACTCATCCAGCAATTTCCCGCTTTCTTCGGCTACTGTCACAAAATGGCAGACCCTACTATACTTAATAATGCAATGATGAAACGCAATCTGGTCGATGAATACCCGGCTAGCCGACTTCAATTCATTTGATAGGTTTTACAGTTCCAAAGGGCCGAACTGTATTTTCTCACGGCACACTAAAAAAAAAAAACAGAAAAAAAAAAAACAGATTCAATTCATGCCTTTTTTATTAGTTAGCAATATAAAATAATTAAAAATCATTTTTAATTTTGAAAAATTTATATAAAATAAATAAATATTAAATAGTTTAGCTTTGTTTTATCCACTTACTTTTGGTAGAACTGTATTAAAAGGAAGTCAAACGGTTTATTAAAAATTGTTTCATTTGTGTGTAGAAGTTGTTTTTTGTTTGTTTGTTTTTTTTATTTAGAATGGGTTCTAAAATGGACCGCCAGAAATAACAGTCATGGGATTTTTTTTCAAGTTTAAAAAAATATATTCCCCTTGTATTTTTATCCAATGAAAAGTGTGTCTTCTGCTGGCGTCAATTTAAAGTTGAGGCCCGTTTGAGACTATATAAGATCACGAATCAGCAGATAACATCAGAAGGGAGTTAGACGTCACATGCGAAAGAGGCCGACCGGCCGGCTGGTGGAAAGGAGGCAAGAGATGGGATTTGGGCGTTGGATGCGAAGGAGGCTGACTGGCTGCTGGGAGGCAGGGAAAAGAGTTAGGCGTCACATGCTGAGGTAGCCAGCTGGTAAGTTGTGGTGTTCCCATGTGAAATTCGCCAGCAGAGTAAAGGTCGGAAAGGCTTCGGCATTCTTAAAAACTACAACAACTACGACGACGACGAACAAAGAGAACCTTTAAGCCGACCTCGCCGCCCCCGACCACGAAAAGGAAGCTCACAGAAAAGAAAGAAATCTCAAAAATATCGTTAAAGGCGCCAGGAAACCATGTGGGAGCAAAAGCAAAAAGAAAACCGAAATATATTTCAAAATATCGTCATATTTTCCAAAGACACCATGTTTCAGAGGTCAAAGTAAGTTTTTTCGTTTATCTATTAAATGAGTGCACCTTTTTCTAAGAGTAAATTTTTCCTTTTTCAAAAGTTTTCGTATCGCATTCTCAATGTTTTTTTTTTCTCTTTTATGGTCTGAAAAATTGTATTGTAAATCTTTTTTAGAGGCAATACTTTCTATAATTTTACGTTATCTTGTTCATGATAAAGTGAACGAAAGGAAAAAAATTGTGCAAGCTTTTTGTAAAAATTGTGTTTTTCTATATGGTTTTATGTCAATGTAATAAATGATTGTGTAGAGGACCGTGTGGGTTTTGAGTGTTGTTGAATTAGAAATACGTGCTGTTTATTCCTGCTACAAGAAGGTCTAACTACAAGAAAATGGCGGACTTGAATTAAGTCCAACTGAAGATGTAAAGAAAAGAAACAAGCAAGACCGATATATACATACCAACAAATATATGTGTTAAACAACAAATTTACAAGTGACAAAGACATTAACATTTGTGTTTGTGTGTGAACGTAAAGTGTTTGTATTTTGGTGAATGTTCGTACGTACGCGTATGTGTGTATAATGTTCACGGCGTTTTCCACAAATGAGAAGACGCTATCTTGTGCGAGAGCTTACATTTTTAAATGTGTCCGCTGAAATGCAAAGTAGAAAAGATAACGAGGCAAGAAGTTTCCCAGTATTTATAGTGTTGGGAGAACGACCCCTAGTCACAATTAGGGAATTATGGAGTAGCTAACTCCGACAATTGTACCATCCAAATTTCACGTAGTAATTTTGAGTCTTTTTTTTTTTTTTTTTTATGCGCCTTTGTTAATATTCGGCATAAGAGATATATAACGTTCTCTCTTTATTCATTCCCTCCCAATAAAAAATAGCATCTTATTGTAACCTGCTTCGTAGCTGAAATAGTTATTAGCGGTACCCGATGTTAACATTCGAGCAAGGGAAAGATCATTTTCGAATGACGGTTTCTAGTTAGGCGGGTCCTCCATATTTGGACGATTTAACTCCCTATTTATCCTTGTGGCTTCCTAGCAGTAAAGCACAAAGAATCCAGGGGAGATCCCTGTTGTGGTATTGATTATGTCATCCTTGAATAAACTTTTATATTTTATTTTTGTCGGTAGTCTTGTAGGAAATACAGTCAAATGAATGAATTCCAAACAATAGTAATAATAAAGAAAACATCGGTTTATAATTTGTATTTACAAACATATACAGTGTAACCCGGATATAAGATAGTTGTCGGGACCGGAGAAGAAGTCTCTTATATCCGGGTTTCTCTTATATCCGGGTTTGGTCTATTTTATATACATTAACACAGGCTCTAATTTGGGACCAGAGAAAATCTCTCTTATATCCGGGTTTCTAAAAGAGTTAAAAATTATTAAAAATAATCTTTTGTTGACTTAAGTAAGTCTTTGGGTAGATGGTACACTGAAAAAAAAAAACGGATGTAGTTTAGAAAAGCCTTAAATATTTGGTTTACAGTAATATATATATATATATATATATATATATATATATGTGTGTGTGTGTGTGTGTGTGTGTGTGTGTGTGTGTGTGTGTGTGTGTGTGTGTGTGTGTGCTGCAAATAAAATATGCAATATCCACAAACATAAATTATAAGAAATGGCCAAATGGTAACGATATTCAATCACGACAAAAAATACATATTTGAAACAACAAATTAAATTTTATATACACAATTTACAATTTATTAGTTTGTAATGATGTGTGCAAAGGTATAGAGAAAAAGTTCTTTGCTGTTTCAGAAATGTTCAATGTCTAAAATGTTGTCTGCCTTTGATTGAAAGGTTGAATTTAACTTAGACAAAAGGTTTTTCTATGAATGATATTAAGTGAAAAAGTTTGTTGTGTGAGTTTTTCCAATCTCCCATAAAGTAAGTTTGTTTCTTTGGCGGCAAATTTGACACATAATTCCTGTGTGTATCTTTGCGTGTGTGAATCTTAAAATGCGGTGTTTACTCGTTCCCCCCACTAGGACAAGATGTGACACAAGGTCTTTTTAAAGTGGGGACCCGAGCGCGTAAACCCGGGCAAGGGACAAAAATTCCCCTTAGCCCCTGCAACCGATGGTTGCGCTGGCCTCGGTGCGAGCACCGTTCCCTCCCGCTTGTGCAATGGGAGGGCGCGGCCTCGGGCAGCTGTTCCCCAGGATTGGGCACCTTTCAGTATAATTTTCTCAGTTGCCCCTCTGTCCTTTGACAGAGAAGCCCCTGGGCCCACTCTGCCCAAAGACAGAGACGCAACTAAGAGATGATAAGCCTGCGTTGAAAATCTCTCCAAAGAGGAATTTGTATGCTGTGAGTCTCAAAATGCGACGAAAATTCGTTTGCTTTTTCTATTTATAGTTTTTTTAACAACACAATCGGCTCCAGCGGCTTGGTAGCTTATTACATTTTTTTCTGAGAAATGCATGGGCGAATAATTTTTTATTTTTTTTAGCCAATAGGATTTCTTGAAACATTTAAATTAGGGATGAATCTGAGAAAGATTTTTTTATGTCAGTTGAACCTATTTTTGCACAAATTTTAACTGTTTTGTTATGGAAATTTCTCGAAGCTTATTTTTATTTAACAACCAATGAAATTCAAGAAAACGTTTGAAAATGAGGGTTACTAAAAATGAGTTCCCCCACTTTCCCTTCGGCCTTGTGCCACAATTTTGTATTTTTATACAAAATAAATATATTCCTATACGGTTTTGTTTCTGTACCAAATACAATTAATTACTGTCTGGAATAATCATGACGTTGGGAACTTCTAAACTTATAAATAAAATAAGCGTGCAGGTTCAAATAAAATTTCCGCTGAGAATTTTTATAAACGTGGAACAAAATAATCGTGCCACGGGAAAAATTGTTTGAAAATTAATAAGCGCGGCGTACCAAACAATAACTGTACCAGCACTTGTATTTAGTACAAAAGAGTAAGAAGCCTGAAAAATGGATTCAAAAATCAAAATCAAAACGGAACATTTTAGTTAAGATATCCAATTTAATACGGCCATTATTTGATATGTGTATTTTATTGGCTTACACCGTCTTGCAGTAAACATGTCGGGAGGCAAACAGCGAATATCGAATTTAGACAAACCTCTTGGAAAAGGCAGACCAGAGGTAAAGGTTTTTTTGTTTTTTTACTTTCCCTATTTTCCATGAAAGAAGAATATATCCAATCTATGCTTAAGGGTTTACATTTGAAAATAAATAACATAATAAATAAGCCTGTTTGTTTAAATCGTAGTAGGCGTATGCGGGATTAATTTTTTTTCTGTTTTTCTTAACGAAGCAATTAAATATGAACTAAGTTCGAATATCTTAATAATCTACTTTTATATTTTATTAATGGTTACCTTATGAATATACTTTGTCATTTAGTCCTCATTTTCATTTCATTATTGACTGTTCCGACTCATTCTTCTTCTATTAATGTGAGGACCCGGAATTAAAAATTGGAAATTGGAGAGTTAAGAATCTTTTTCTGTGTAGAGAATATTCCTCCCTAATTTTCTGCAAAATCCCTTCTTTTAATTAAGATTTATTAATGTCATTATTCGACGATTTGGATTTCATGTTTTTTTCCTAGCAATGTAGTGGAAAAGTGTTGGGAGAGTTTTCTGTTGAAGAAGAAAAAAAAAATTCAACACAAAGTGAATGTCATCGATGATCGATCCGATTCTTGATTCTTCGCATAAGAAAATGCATCAGGAAAAAAAAACAAAAAAACTTACATTTGAAGACACGTGGTTATTGCATTTTGGGTAGAACAATACTTGGATTTTCAAATACCAGTTTCGTTTATGGACTTATTTTTAGCTGAAGATTTTCAAAAGAGATTCTGTCTGGAAAGCAATCCAAAGCAGTTTGCATTTTTATGACATTTATTTTTCTTTTTTTGACTTGACTCCAGTTTTACTGGGTCCACAAGCCCTAAAGACAACGACTTGATTGAATAAGAGTAAGACAAGTGATTAAACTAAAAATGGAATTGATAAACAAAAACACACTTCTTAGTACACATACAATTACGCTGGCGAACAATGAATTCAATTCAAAGAAAATCTAAAAAAAACAAAAAAAAACTAATAATTAAAAACAAAAATAACCTAATTGTTCTAGCTAGATCCACCATCAATAAGCAATTTTATTCAACCTAATTACAATTAAATTAACAATAATTCAATTATGTTGATTCGATTGTGCACTGAAGCCTGACGTGCAGTGTACTTGTCAAAATATTGTGACGAGATTGCATCACTTTGTACAGTGTAACCCGGATATAAGAGAGATTTTCTCTGGTCCCAAATTAGAGCCTGTGTTACTTAATGTATATAAAATAAACCAAACCCGGATATAAGAGACGACTTCTCCGGTCCCGACAACTCTCTTATATCCGGGTTACACTGTAGTTAAAAGTTTAATTAGAATTATTCATTTATTTTTATTCATGTTGTTTATCTTCACTTCAGGACCCGGTAAACGATAGTTAAGCTTTTTTTATTTCTTTCCTGCAATCCCTATCCAATTTTTTTTTTTTTTTTTTTTGTCGGGTGTGTCTTCTCTTCTTAAACAACCAAAACAATAACACTAATTCTTAAAAACAATGTGTCATTTTCGAAAATCTTTTTTTTCTAAATTAGTAACATTTGCTCCGGCCTAATAAGATTTATTTTTTAGATCTTTTTTTTTCTTATTTGAATTGAATATTTTCGTATTTTTAAATTGTTTAAAAATAGTGATGTTAATATTTTTCAATAATTCAGTTCATTTCAGTTCAATAGATTTTAAAATAAAATTAATGGTCTATTTCTTTTTATCTATGTTTATCTATATATTTATTTTTAAATTTGTTTTTGTAATGTACTATTTTTTTTTTTTTTTGTTAATTTTAAAATGTAATAATTGTAAACATGATTATCTCCCTTTAAACTAAAATTCAGGGTAAAAGAACTTGCGGTTGATTTTGATATGGAAACGAAGATTTGATTGCTTAATTTAGAGGTGACATTTTCTAAAATTAGTTAAATATTAATTTTATTTGTATTAATCGAAATTCATTAACAAAATCTTCCACGCTGTTTTTTTTTTCTTAGAACACTAAAACGAAGTGGAGATTTTAATTTTAACTTACCTCCACTGATTCGCCAAAAAATTAGCATCCCATGATGAAAAAATGCCCCAAACTTAATAAAATCAGTTTTATCGTCAAAATCCTAAGACCAAATGTTTTTTTGTTTTTTTTTTTTTGTTTGTTTTTTTTTTTCTTTTGGTATTAAATTATATTTTTTATTAATCCATTTTAGAATCTTCTCTCAATGAAAGTACTTTTTAAAATAGATATTTTTTAATCCTTTTAAGAACATTCAAAATTTTGGTTAAAAATCTCGTTTTCTTCGTGGGGGTGGTCAGCTGGGAGGGGGCAAAGATAGATTTTAGCTTTTTTTTTTTTTTTTTTTTTCAGTGAAAAATACATTGATTTGGAAATTCTTGCAAAATATCAAATAATTGTCAGGTTTTAATGAAATTTTCAGAACTTATCCACAAATGAATTAAATTATTTTGGAATGCTCTCTCTTTTTATAAAATCTTGCTAAAAATTATATACATATATATATATATATGTTTTATTTTATATCTAACAGGAGTTTGAGGGTTCCTATAGCTCCTCTAAACTTAAATAAAATCAATTCAGGTTTGCCATGGTAAAAATTTTCTATTCCAAGTAAAAATCATCACAAAAATGTCAAAAGTCATTTTGTTACAGCTTATTTTCATTATTTAGGCTATTGTCCTCATCTTTGTTGCCATATTTATTACAACATTTCGGCCGTTTTATGCTCCAGCCTTCTTCAGATGGTTGGAATGTCAAACTAACCCCTTTATTTTGCTCACTGGGGTAGACTGTTCTAGTTCCACATGCCATGTTTAATGGATGTCAGTTATCAGTTATCTCCTGTTAATTCCCCTTTGAAAGTTCTCCACTGCCTTAACCAGGTATTGAACTCACAATCTTTGGGTCCTGTCACTGGATCTAACTAATGCCTTTATCCACTGTGCCATCTGTGTATGAATTTCTGGGTATTATAAACCTAATGTCTCAGCAACCATTTTTTACCAGAGCTCATATTGCAATTTTTTTGTTATTATCATCGCTTTTCTCTAGCACTCCTTATTACCGGTTCCCATATTGTATTCATTTCTATGCTTAGTCGGCTCAGGAGATTTTTGTGGCCTAGCATATGTGCTGATTCCTTAAGTTTATGAATTTTCCAATGGTGTTCTTTGTCTTTCAATATAATAGTCATCTCTATCTATAAAAGGCAGGATGTGTGTGTGTGTGTGTGTGTGTGTAACGAATGCACGGCCGCAAATTTTGACGGATTTGCACCAAAGTTTACATGCACATGCTCCAAGTTAGCGGGAAGGCCAACATCAACTTTGCATTTCCTAACTCCCATCGATAGTGGAAATAATCGATTTTTTCATGCTTCTACAGCAGTTTTCATGTAGTTTGCGGCCATTTTCTACTGGCCAGAGTGTCATAAAGGTTGATAAACTGTAAAGCATAAATAAATTAATCTCCTTGATGGAACATAGCTTTAAGGGACCTTCTTGCCAAAACATATTCACTGGCATGTAGCACCCACCAATAAACTGGCAAAAAAGAATTAAAAAAACCTAATGATATTCAGCTGACAATCCATTCAGACTTACTTAGCGCTATTTTGATGAAAGGAGGAACAAATAGGAGAATCTTTATCTTTCGAACACCTTGAGTGGCCCTTGGGCCTTGTATTGATGAACATTAGCAATATATATATGTGTGTGTGTGTGTGTGTGTGTGAGTTTGCTTCTGATCATTCCAAATTCATAAATAATTATATTGAATATACTACAACATGCATAACAAGAAAACCCTTGTTACATCTCTCTGACTATAGCTCAATTCAGTCTCATTTAAATACACATGAAGACCTACCAAACAGCATCTGCAACATACTTGTTGACAATACAAATATAACAGCATCAAACACATTGGGCCTTGTATTAGGTGAACATTAGTAAAATAAAAAATTTAACATTTCACTATTTGTCATGTGAAATAATGTGGAATTATATTTCGCTTTTTAGATTCTACATTTTGTTTTCATTGGTTGTATAGATGTTGTGTATATCTTATGGTGTTTATTTACATTTCACTTTTTAAATTCTATATTTTTTTTCATTGGTTGTGTAGATTTCACATGTATTTCTTTTGGCACTTGTGTTTATATACATTTCACTTTTTAAATTCTATATTTTTTTTTCATTGGTTGTGTAGATTTCACATGTATATCTTTTATGCTTGTGTTTATTTACATTTCACTTTTTAAATTCTATATTTTTTCATTGGTTTTGTAGATTTCACATTTATAGTTAATGACATTAGTGGTTATGTTTAATTCTCAAAATATTATCATAAGTGCATATCAGTTTTTATATTTTAACATTATTTGGATTTGTAATCGTAATTATTTAAATCAATATGGCACCCAGGAACTAGTATGTCAAACAGGTAAATAGACATGAATATATTATCCAGGCTAGAAGTGAGACACGGTGATTTTTGGAGCATCTTTTGTGGGCTTGAAGTGTATTTTGTATGGTAATATTTAGTTCTTAATAGTTCAGTGATAAATATTCTTTTTTTGCAGGTGAATATTGCCACCTTTGCTCTGCTGTTTTCCGAGATTGTCCAATACTGTCAGAACCGTGTCTATACAGTTCCAGAGCTGCAGAACAAGTAAGTTGATATGGTGACAAAAATGTGTTTTTTTTAATAAATAATTAAATAGATATCAAAGAAATTATTAACAGTAAGATTCAACCTCATGCCTTTGTATCATACATTAGTGTTTTGTATGATTTTTTTTTTTTTTTGTATCCCACCGAATGTGCAGGTTGTTTATTTTATAGCGGCTTAAAATGCAAAATCCGAGAGCTGAGTTTGAATTCCAGTTGGGTACATTGCATTCACTTACACACAGATTCCCTTGGAAAAGGTAAAAATTCATCTCTTCCCAAGCTATGGGTTAAATAGGACTTGTATTTGGAAAAATCATTATCTCAAAAAATTGTTACTGCAATATTCACTTGCAAAGAAAAAGTAATTATTCTTACAATGTAAAGTTTTTTAGCTTTAAATAGCCCACATAGGGTCAATAAACCTTAAAAAATCAACTCGGATTCAAATGTGCTGTTACATGAAGAGAAGTTATAAATTTACGTAGGTGTTTATCATACTATTTAGATTTGAGTATTCTGCTGTTTATACCTCATTTTCCTGATGATTTGTTTTTCGTAGTAAAATGTTTTCTCACCTTTTGTCTAATCATTTCAAATGCATTTCACTTAAGATGCACCTGAAACTATGTCAAAGGTCAATTTGGAGGAAGAATTGCCTAGAATAAAACGATTTAAAATAAATTTAACTCTAAAAATGAAAATATTCAAAATGAGCCTCAAGGAAGATCCACAAATCTTTGACAATTCAATCAATAATCTTGGGACATAATCCAAGGAAAACAATTCTAGCTCTTTCTGCAAACTTTGGCATTTTTCTTGTGACTATTTCTCCTTATTTGCCTGCAATAAGAAAAATGAAAACATTAGCCAAATGGATTCCATATAAATTGACAGGAAATCTCCATGATTGCAATTGTGAGGTACTGCTCATGGAGTTGGAATCTCCAGGGACAAGAAACATGTTTAAATCTGGTGCCCAATCTTGCTCAAAGACTTATCCAGTGGTCACCCCACCCCCAGAAGAGACACAGATGGAAGGGATGTGACATTATTTGTCAACCAGGAGACTGTCATATTCTCCTAAAGATCTCTTTTCATATTTTTGCAGATTGTCTGAACTCGGTTACCATGTTGGTTCTCACCTACTCGACCTGTTTTTCCTCCGGGAAAAAGGATACAAACGAGAAATTAAACTTTTAAATATGCTCCTCTTTGTCAAGTCCAATTTATGGAAGGTGAGTGATTTTTTGTTTTCTGCCAATATTTTCTTGTTTAAGTGCAGTAATTAATGTTATTGTTGATGATAAGGTTATCTGTTCTAAATTTTTTATAATTAATTTAATTATCTTTTAGCCACTGTTAAGGATGATTATTATTTTTTATTGAATGTATGGGTTTTTATGTATGTTTCTAGAGGTATAGGAATGTGTCTTTTATTTTCCAAACATGGTCAGCACACTGTGGCCATGTTCATAGTTGATGTTATTGAGTATAGGCTTTTTTTTATTATTATTAGTCTTTTCATTATTTTTCGTGATTTTTTTATATGTGGATGTATCTATTATATCCGAATTTTCTATACATGTATTGCAAATGGTGTTTGGTAGGTTTCCATGTGTATTTAAAGGAGTCCTAATTAAGCTATCGAGAGAGGTGTAATGTGAGTCTTCTTGATAGGTATGTAGTGGTATATCCAATATAGTTATCCATAAATGTGATTTGATCAAGAAAGCAATTCCTAAAAGGATATGTGAATTCATAAATAATATTGGTTCTCAGTAATTTATATCTTGCAGGTGAATTGTTATTGTTGATGATAAGGTTAGCTGTTTTAAATTTCTTATAGTAGATAATTATTTTAATTTTCTTGTTCTGCTTGACTGGGGTTGTGTATTTCTTTATGATATTTCCAAGAGAAAATTCATCTTGCTTATAGGTAGCGTGTATTTGGTTTTTATAGAAAATCTTAATGCTATTATCTGTATATTCAATATTGCTATTAGTTACTTTAGAAGGAAATAGTCTAATTTGGTGATTTGGTGGAAAACTGTTATTAACTCACATCTGTTTCACATTATTGAGTTATTTTAGGAATTTATTAATGCCTTTAAGATGACTGTACACTCATCTTAAATCAAGTACCACTACATGAAATTTCACTGCTATCTTTTATATTTTTATGTAAATTAATTTTGTAATGAGTGTACACTTAAAAAATATATACTCACACATACATACACACACACAGTGCTGCTTGAAAGTTTGTGAACCCCCAGACATGGTCATTGTTATTGTGAACAAATTTAAAATATTCGTCCTGGGTAAGACGATAAACGATGTCCAACAGCAAGGCCTCTGTTTAGGAGGTACTGAGGAGCGTGGAACCACCTCTTAATTGCTGGTGTTACCAGGTCCACCCTGACCCAGGGTGGTAGCACTTGTTAGGATCCCAGCTATGGGTAAATAGTTAACCTCTAAACTTGGGTCAAAACACTATGAAAGTGTAAAAATAGGTTTTAATACCAGAAATAATTTGTTAAAAAAAAAAAAAATTATTACCATCAATGCATTTTTGAAAAAAGAGAACATTGCCAGCTATGCATTTTTTGAAAAAAAATTACCATCAAAGGAAAATTATTATCAGAAGTAGATTTTTGGAAAAAAAATTTACCAACAATGAAAATTTTGTCGGCATTAAATAACACATTGAGGTTGATATGTTGTAAACCAAACCAAACCAAATTTAAAATGTGCATCTAACAACCAATTTGTAAAGTAGACTTTCCAAATAATGAAGACGTAAACAAGGATTTATTTTAATTATTTATTTAAAAATAGGATTTATTTCACCAAAACTGAAAATTTGACTTGTGCAAAAGTATGTGAACATTTTTAGTTAGTATCTTGTAGGACCTCCTTTTGCAGCAATTACTTCAACCAAACATTTTCTGTAGCCACTGACCAGTCTGTCACATCTGCTGTTGGGGATTTCTGCCCACTCCTACTTGCAAGCCTTGGCCAGTTGAGAGAAATTGGCAAGACATCTGGCATGAACCGCCAGCTTCAGGTCTAACCACAACATTTCTAATGGATTGAGATCTGGACTTTGACTAGGCCAATCCAGAGTACAAATCCTCTTCATTTTAAGCCATTCCTTAGTAGTTTTGCTGGAATGCTTAGGTCATTGTCTCATTGCAGAACCCATTTTCAGCCAGGCTTCAACTCTCTGACTGATGGTAGGAGATTCTGATCCAGAATTTGTTGATAGGACTGAGAATACATATTTCTCTGGATAATATGGAGTTGTTCAGAGGCAGAAAAGGAGCCCCAGATCTTAGCATTTCCACCACCATGCTTCACTGTTGGAATGGGGTTCTCTGCTACGTAGGCAATGTTGTTTTTTCTCCAAACATGGCAGTTCTGATTGTGACCAGACAATTCTGTCTTTCATTCATCTGTCCAGAAAATGAACTTTCAGAAAGCCTCTGGTTTGTCCAACTGTTCTCTGGCAAAGTTTAAATAGGCAGCTTTGTTCTTTGTTGAGAGCAGAGGTTTCCGTCTAGCAGCTCTACAATGAATGTCATGTCCATTTAATTTTCATCTGATTGCAGACACATGCTGCCACAGAGGTCTGCAACTCTCTGAAGGTGATATATGGGTTGACTGTTACCTCATTTATTATTTTTTTTAGTCTTTCTTTGTGATAGTTTTGATCGGCTTCCATTTCTAGGAAGAGTTGCAATCATGTTGAATGCCCTCCATTTGTAAATTGTCTTACAGTGGATGGATGGAGCTGCAATATTTTTGAGATGGTCTTATGGATTACACCAGACTAGTGAAAAGTCAGTAATTTCTGCCTGATGTCATCAGATATCTCCTTTACTCTCGGCATTGTTGATCTGTGAAGCAGCACAATAACTTAGCTGGTTTCGTCTCTCTTTTAATCAGTGTTGCCCAACCAATTTACTAAGGATGTCTCATTTGATTACAATCTCTTTTCCAGAGAAAAGAAAGAATAAGATAAAGGAGTAGAAAAAAGGGAGAGGAAAACAACAGAATTTGTTTTGTTTATAATAAATTATATATTATAGAATTGTTGATGCAATATCCTAAAATAAAGAATTTTGGTCTAATTTTTGTATTAGGCCCTATTTTAAATTAAGGTTATGAACACTGGTATTTATATTTGGTTCGTTCTCATTTCATATATATATATATATATATATATGAGCAGCAATCCTTCTTATATACAAGTTTCATTAAAGACAAGGTACTGTGATTAAACATTTTATTTAATGTTTCTTGTGTTTGTATGTTTTCTTTTCTGGACACAGTGTTTAAAAATTGGCCCAAATGTTCTAATATATCCAAGTGCTTTCGGCTATTCTTTTAGCCATTATTAAGAATGATTTTTTATTGAATGTATGGATGTTTTATATATGTATCTAGAGTTATAGGAATGTGTCTTTCATTTTCCAAACATGGTCAGCACATTGTGGCCCTGTTCATAGTTAATGCTATTGAGTATTGACTATTTTTTTATTATTATTAGTCTTTTCATTATTTTTAGTGTTTTTTACATGTAGGTGAGGTTATTATACCTGTATTTTCTACTCATGTATTGCAAATGGTGTTTGGTAGGTTTCCATGTGTATTTAAAGGAGTCCTAATTAAGCTATGGTCAGAGAGGTGTAACGTATTTCACTATATATTTCAGAATCTGTGAAACTCTGAGCAATTGTGAGTAAACTTTATTTCTTTTATATAATTTTGAATTTGCTATATTTATGGATGAAGATAGCTTAATATCAATAACAGAACATTTATTGTCACCGCTGAGTGAAACTCTGTAAGAAAGACAAAGAGCAAAATACATGAGTCTTTTTCACAAAATCTTATTTCAAAGTTTATTTAAAAATTGGAAAAAAAGGACAACCTCAGTAGTGTGCGGTTATCAATAACATGGATTCAGTTTCAAATCTGACATTTGTAAATAAAAACAAGATAGTAAGTCTGGCATGTTGTCGCAGAAGGGAAGAACAGAGAGATGCATGTTGTATATCCACTTTTTGGAGGCAAAAAAAAGGCCACGAGTTCTATATCTCCCTCTGAGGCAGCAGGGTGACAGGCTTTGATTGGGCAAACCTGCAACCAATCCAGAACTCCAACACATACAAGGTTCATCTGAGCCTTAACTCCTACTATTATTTTGTGTGTGTTTTGATCAATGTATCTTAAAGTATATGTGTGACTATGTGCATCAAGAATTAATTTGATGCTGTATTTATATGAACAGGACACCCCCACCATTTCCAAAACAATAAGAAGTACATATTTTCCAATTCTGGCAAAGATTATACTTAGAGGAAGGTCTAAGAAATGCTAATCACAAAAAATTTTCCCTTTTTTTTTTTTTTTTAAACAAGCAGACAAGTTTCTGTCAAAATGTTCATTTATTTACTTGCCGTTGACTTCCAGAGCTAGAAAAAAATTAGAAATAATAAAAGCAAAATCTCTATCTCAGAATCTAACCTTCCAGACTTCCAGAGCTAGAAAAAAATTAGAAATAATAAAAGCAAAATCTCTATCTCAGAATCTAACCTGATTAAACTTGTTTTTTTTTTTTTTTGCCTTTATTGATAAATACATTGTAGCAAATGATTGGTATGAGTTTGAGATGGACTGAGGTGGCTGTTGGTCACCAGTTTGTAGTAGGAACTGTTAGACATTGCTGATTAAGATGAAGACTTTCAGAATAAAATGAATTTAACCTTTTCAAAAGAAATGAATTCAACACGACAAAAAAATTTTAAACATATATTTATATAAAGAATAACATAATTCAAGATGAGAATATATACGCGGGTTTACACAGATTAATGAAAAATGAAGAAAAATATACTAGCTCTGATGCTAAAGATTATATATAGCCCAAACATCAAACCTATTAAGTTAAAGGGTTCTGAAGACAGTAGACTGAAGCACCGTGATCAGCTTCATCATGCTCTGAAGCAGAGACACCATCAAAATCCTGTTTTAACAAATTTCAACTGTCAGTATGGTTTTGTTGCCTGTAGCAAAGCTGGGATAGTATCACACTTAAGAAAGTATAAATGACAGACAGAGTTTTTCCCTTACCTGATTTTCTCCACAATGTCTTCTGCTAGTATGCATAAGTGTAAAACAAAAGGCACCATCCAATGCTGACCCTCATTTATCGTTCATGGTTGGAGAGTCCACTGTGTGTGTATGTGTGTGTGTGTGAGATGTTCACATAGTGTGTTTGAAATTTATTCATCGGTTTGCTGGGTTGAGGAAATCTCACTTCAGCAATGATCAATTCTGTGTTATCGTTATATTTCAGAACAAAATATGGAAGAGGGAGTTAGTCTTTTACCTTTTTTTTTGATAGTTCTGAACGACACCACCTAGTGGGCATCTTGGCAGACAGGAAAGGGCAGTTAATCTCCACAACAATTTAATTCCATTTTTTTTTTTTTTTTTTTTTTTTTTTCAGACTTTATTTGGAAAAGAGGCTGATAAATTGGAACATGCAAATGATGATGAAAGAACTTGTATCCTTTGTTGCCTGCTTCATACAACACCATATCTTTTTATCTTTAAGAGGAGAGTCATATATCTTTTGTCAGTTTTTATATATATATATATATATATATACATACATACATATATATATATATATATATATATATAGTATGAGGCAAAAAATAAATGCACTCCGAGTAAGTCAATTTTTATATTTTTACCAAGACAAGTGAATAAAAGAATTCATTTATTAATACAGGTGTACATATGTACATTATACAAGACAAAAGATGATTTAGTATTTTGTTGGGTAACCTTTTGCTTTAATAACATTCTTAATTCTTGCTGGCATGCTATAGACTAAATTCTTTAACAAATCAACATCCTTCACCAGATTTTTCCAGCATTTTTTTAATTTGCAAAAAAGCTTGTCTGTGTTAACTTTCCTATTATGGACACGCTTGTCTCTTATCACCCAAAGGTTTTCAATTGGGTTAAGGTCAGGACTCTGACTAGGCTACTGGAAGAGATACAATTTACCCTCGTCACACTTCCTCTCTAGGTACCATTTATTCTTTAAGGCAGTATGCTTACACATAACATCTTCCAAATTTAATCCAGTGGAAAAGAGCTTTACACCAAGCCAACCATCCCTGTTGATTTTTTTTTTCATAGTCTGAACAATGCTTAGGCATGTTAATAAACGTAAATACAAATGCCATAAGCTTTATATTTTGTTCATCATCATTTCTATGGGTGTGTCTATGTTTTGGCTCGTACTGTATATATCTCATGTGTTAGTGTGTTTATGTATCTCTCTGTGAATTTTTAGTTTTATTTATTGCATATTTATGATCAGTACTGTTGACTGGTAACATATTTCTTCAACACTATCCCAGTCACACTCCTGACCCAATCCTTCAGTCGACAAGTTAAATCTACTACTTTCTTTAATTTTCGCTGAATTTATGTTGGACTAAATTTAATTTGCTCTTTCTCAAAAGATACATAAAGAGGTAAACTTTATACTGTATGGAATAAATTATTTAAAATGCACATTTGAAAACGATAAGTGGAAATAAAAATGTGTTGTTTGAAAATCAGGGCAGACAAGCCATTAGAGATTTTTAAAAGGTTACTTACAAATTAAAGCAGGAAATACATTGCCTATTTATGTCTCCAGTTTCAATAGGGCTCAGATCTACACAGCCCAACTAGCCATGTTAATTTTATTTCATTCTTTTTTTACTTTCTTCTTTATTATGAATAATATCAAAGTTTTGTTCCTGTGAACAAAACTGGCTATAACTTTGATTTTACTAATTACTCCCAAATCAACATGCAAAAAAACAACAAACATAATGTCTACTAGTCATACACACACACAAACTTACAAATATACATTTTCATCTGATTCCCACATAGACAAACTAAAAAAGATTTCTATACACTTACATAGATATAGCAATATTTACGATTTTTCAAGTAGGTTTGAAATCTGTTAATATCTTGCAAATTTGGATGGACATGTTGTCTCTTCTTGAATTTGGAATACCACAAATTATAATAATGTTGGTTTAACAAAGTGAATGCATTTCAAGCATGAGTAACCAATGAACATCAAAAAACACGAAAGTTTGTATGTAGCTGAATGGTTAGAACGTTCGCCAACCATTTCCCCATGGTCGATTTGTCAGGGTAGTAACTTCTTTAGGCTGAGGAAGTGATCCCAGCCTGTGGCATCTTTGGAAAGTGCATGAAAACCATACTAAAGATTGAAACGAGCCTTGTAAGTAAAATTGGGTAAACAGAACTGTTCAGAGACTATCAATGGTTGTGCTAGCCTGAAGTCACTAGTCATCATGGCCGAGAGTTTGAGCATACTGGCTTTGTTTAAACTGTTGATCACACCAGATGATGTCCTTTCTTCTAGAAACTGTTACTAATGTGTACTCAGCCTAGTTGCAGTATAGACCATAGTTCAGCTCAGTGAGTGTTGAATAAACACAAATATGCCTGAGCAGATGTCTGCAGCAGGGATTGGTGATGGATGTGCTCAGAGATAAGTAGCTGGTCATTATGGTGGTTTTCCATGTGTAGCTTAGACAGGGCAGAATGTATGGGGCACTCAGTGAGAATCAAACTACTCAGTCATAAATGATCTTATAAGACAAGCTTGCTAACCATTATACTGCGTTGAAGTGCCCAATGATTTTCTAAGCGTTACTTAGATGTGGCACAAGATCAACAGTATGGAGCACCCAGTGAGGATCAAACTCACTATTAAGTCATAAATTATTTTGCAAGACAAGCTTGCTAATCATTAGACCACATCAAAGTCCCTAACAAATTTCCAAATATAGCTTAGATGTTGCACAAGGCCAAAAGTGTGGGGCACCCAGTGAGGATCGAAGTCCCTACTCAATCATAATTGATCTAGCGAGACAAGTTTGTTAACCATTACACCACATCAAATTGCCCAAGCCAGTCATTATGGATGTAAATGTAATTTCCCTTCTCAAATGATTTTATACCCATTTATTGTTTTCTTTAACCAAATTTTTTCTCAAAGATTACATCATAGAAAAAGAGCCGTTAGTGAACAAGTTTATTTCTGTACCAAAAGATAAAGGTAAGTGGTCCACTCATTTAATTACAGTTCACACCTCGAACACAAGAAAGACTTGTGATCCGGAAATAATAGAGTAAAAGTTGCACATGTTGTGTGCGTTGAAGGTCAATTCTCTCTCTCTCTCTCTCTCTCAAGTCTTAATAAATATCATTTTTTCCACACTAGCATACACTTTTTTATTTATTTATTTTTTTTACTGATTGTTCACCCAATACAAGACCCAAGGGCCACTCAATGTAGAGTGTTGCTGAGTGAGGATGTAAAGGAAAGAAAAGTAAGTATTATGATGATGAACAGGATAGATATTGGCTGATCCGGGACTTAAAGAGACCAATATTGTAATTGTCAAGGAAGCATTCTTGTGGGAGTTTGTTCCATAAAGTAACAGTTCTGGAGAAGAAGCTGAGTGGAAGTTACTTTTTGTCAAAGGTACAAAAAAACAGAATAAGATGGTTTGTCACTGTGCACATGGTTTAGCTGTGCAGAGGATTCAGAAAGAGTTGGATGATATATCCAGTCATGGTGTTTGGAGTTATCACTATTGATAGCAACATTATGCTTCTATTCTGATACATCTGAGTTGGTGGCACTAAGGAATGTAACTTAACCGAAACATCTGCCATAGTAATAGTGATAATGTAGTAAAAGTCTGGCAACATTTTGTCTGTGGGATAAGGGTTGGGAGGGGGAGAAGAATTCAGGGTGCGCAAGTGCTTTTGGACTCTGCCAAGGACAAACAGTAAGAATTGGGCAGCACCAGCCCAGACATGGCAGCAATGTTCCATTCTTGGTCTGATTTGATTTTTATAAAGATAAATCATAGCAGTGGGAGTTGGATAGATTCTGGGGCAATTCAAGGAACTGACCATTCTTCTAGCATCTTTTCCAATGGTACAAATATGCACATTCCATTTGAGATTGGGAGTGAGCTTTATCCCAAGTAGGCATTTTAGGCAAGGAACCTATTTGAGAGACTGACCGCTCATCAGGTATGGTTCAGGTTATTAACAAATTGTCAGTCCCATCACAGCACATGGTTGTAGGTTCACTGCACATTTGAACACCTGACCAGTTTCCCTCCACATATCGCCATTGTGTGCCAATGTCTGACTCTCTGTGAATGATCTTGTAGTGAAAGAGATAATCAGGTACCTCGGAAAAAAGTTTGTGTTTTGTGTGCGATCTGCCAAAGAAGGATTACCAAAAAGTAGTCAGCAAAAATCTTATAGCAAAGAAAACGGCGACTTACCTCGTCAACCCAAGCGACAGCGCGTCGCGTGTATTCTGTGACGGAATAAGAAACAAGTCCGTCGCAGGAGTCACTATAAGAGGATATTGATATGCAAATTACAGAGCATCCTATCCCAGCTGTCAATGAATGAAAAAATAGGTTCTGCTGATAAAAGCAGTTGGTGTTCTCGATCCGGTGGAAGGAAAATTCGGGCATTTTTGGCTACAGCGTTTGTTGGAGTGTGAGTTATTTTCCTGACTGGTTACACGCATTGTGATTTAAGATAGTACCGGCGAATCGAGTTTTCAGCATTTCTTTCTGCCCCCGATACTCGAGTCTGTACTTAGTGATTTTTCTTTGTGTTGTGAACGTAATCTGCGACAAATTTGCTTTGAGAACGCTTACACTTACAGATCTTTCAATCCATTCAGTCAGCATTGTCAGCCCATTTCTCTTTTGTCTGCCTCTTCCTCTTTTACCTAAGTTGGAACCTTGTAGGATTACAGGGGAAAGATTGTTGGCTTTTATGACATGCCCATATCATCTCTTCTTGAAGACTATTGGTTATGAGGTCTTCCGATGGGCCTTGTTTCTTGTCATATGGTGTCTTACACTGCATCATTGGTGATTTGGTCTATGTAGAAGACACCCAAGATAGTTCTGTGGCATCTGATTTCTAAGATGGTTTTTAGTTTGTGCTGCTCTTGATATTATTTCTATTCTGGAGCCGTTTTTGCTGTTAAGCAAGATTCAAGATATTTGAATTATCTCACTAAAGATCCTGACCCCAATTTTTATCTTGCTTATAAGCTCTTTTTTATTGTTCACCATGAGTTTGTTTTTGTTTTTTTCAGTATTAATCTCAATGACATAATCAGTGGGTCTTCTTTCCATGTTCGTCAGCAAATTAATAAATATAAAATTTGTGACTTAGCTGATTGAGATATATATATCTATCTATATATATATATATATAGGCAAAAGAAAATCTTATATTAGCCAATGTGTTCCATTCACTGATGGAATTTATCAAAGCAAATGCAAGGCTGCACCCTATATTTTTTCAAATATCTCCTTTCCTGAAAGAATTACTCTTTTCCCAAGTCAACATACATAACTATAAAAATATTAAAAACTTAAAAGAAAACAGTTAAATTCATAACCTCATGTTATTCAACATATATATAACACATAAGTTAATCCAAACCTAAAATAATTCTAATTTGCAAAAAAAAAAAATCATTTACTCACTTTCATTTGTTTGTTGGACATTGAATTGTGTCTCTTAATGTCCTCCATAGTTTGCCTAGACTTTTCCTGATGAATATTTATGAGCGTTCTTAAATTTACTCATTTTGAAAAGCCAATAACATTTTTACTCTTGTATATAAATAAATACTTGTTACAAAATAAATAAAAAAAACCTTACATTTGATAAAATCCCTCTCGGCAAAACATTTCAGCTAAGATAAGTTTTTCTTTAGTCTTTATTCTCATTGTCCTTTTACAGATAGAGTATATCTGAAATTTTACACACACACATGTATGTAAGTGTGTGTGTGTGTGTGTGTGTATATATAAAACTGACAAGTAGATTTCAGAATCCGGGAGATGCTGAGCAATTGTGAGTAAACTTTCTTTTATATAATTTTAAATTTTCTATATTTATGGATGAAGATAGCTGAATATCAATAATAGAACATTTATTTCTGTTCCGAAGCCACCTTTGCTGATAAGCAAGTCAAGATATTTGAATCCTCACTAAAGTTCCTGACCCCAGTTTTTATCTTGCTTAAAAGCTCTTTTTTATTGTTTGCCATGAATTTTTTTTTTCAGCATTAATCTCTTAATGATATAATCAGTGATACTTTCTTCCATGTTCTTAACCAAACTGACAAGTACCTCTTCTTTGCCAGCTAGGCCATCTACAGGGTGGGATGGATAAATTGTCGTCTAAATGAGGCAAAAATGAAGATAACACTGACATCTCGTTTTAATAGATATATTTACCAAAATTAGACAAAAATATCTTGAAATACTAAAGAGTAAATTTATTCAATAAAATCACCATTGGCTTCAACCATAGCCTCCAGACTACTTCAGAATCTCCCCCAGGTCTTCTAGACAGTCTCCTTGTTTAAGTTAGTGAATGCTGCCATAATCCTTGCCTTCAGTTTATTTTTGGTGTCACAAGGAGGTTTTTCTTTATATCTTTTGCTCAAGTGTGCCCCACACATAATAATCAAAGGGGTTGCAGTCTGGTGAGTTATGTGGTCAGATGTTAGGGGTGCAGAAATTGTCTGACAGCCATGACTGGGTTCTCCTGCTTTTGCAGAATTGTGCAAAGTCCTGTTGCCAGACATAGGGTCTTCCAGCAGCTACCTCCTCAAGACATTTGATGTAGGCCTCCATGTTGAGTAAGTTTATCAAGCTACCATACCTTTGTAATTACCATTAGAATCATCCAACTCTTTACGAATCCTCTCTACTGTCCTCAGATTGACACTCAAACACTCTGAAATGTTTGTATTGGAGCTTCTGGCATGAATGCCTAGCAGTACAGGATGCCATTTCCAAATTTCCAGCTGAGTGAATTGCTTTTTTTATCAGGGATGATGCCCAACTGGCCCTCCTATACTGTGCAGTCAACAAAATCAAAAACAACAACGCACATGCACAAAATTAAGAATATAAAATGGCAACAATTTACCCATCGCACTCTGTATGTTGTATCCAAAGTGCAAACTCCAATGCTGATTGTGCCCTGATGTTCCTCAAGATGCATTCAAGAAGAGCACAGGAAACCGTAGACAGCTTTGTTATACATAGGCCTATGTGTGAAACCACTAACAATACAGATATTTGCAAAGCTTACCATAGTCCAGTGGTTCCCAACCTTTTTTTCTCTGGGTCGCATTTTTGGGATGAAAATTTGCTCACACATCACCAAATTTTATGTGATAAAAAGTAGATTTAAAAATAAAAATTCAGAGTGAGGGTTAAAGAGAGATAGCCACAGATTCAAAGTCAGAACATTATCATTGATAACTCTCTCCTCCAATTTGCGGACCCTAGCTACTATATTCTTAGTACTTGATATTATGCAAAAATATCACAATAACAAAATTGGTCAATAATTACAAGTCATCCATAATAATATTTTAAATTTTGAAATAATTTATTTTCAGCATATGAATCTTTTGAAACTGTTTTTGAATCTTTGATAGTCTTTCAATTAGCATATGAATTTTTTTAAAATTGTTTCTGAATTTTTGTCTTTCAATTATTCCTCCTCATCTGCTATCCTCTTCCACTGCACCTATGAGGTATATCACACCATTTAGGAACCACTGCCTTAGTCAAACCTATAAGGAACATAGGAAAAAAAACAGTGTTAGACTACAAATTGGAATAGTCTGTATTGAAAATAAGGATGCAACATCTAACTAGACTGACTACTGTTGTTGAGTAGAAAAAATACACACTTTAAGCAGTAAGAATACATTTGAACAAATTTTCTTAAATTCAACTAAAAAGGTCTGTTTTAACTTTTTAATGCATTTTTCCAATTTTCAAATAATCTCTTATATGTCATAATCAAAATTTGATAAACTGTCCAAAGTTAATATTTTTCTATCTGAATTTCTGGAGTGAGAAATTATTCTTATTTATATTATTTCCATTTGAACTAATGTCCTCATCTTTGTTGTTGTTATTGCAACAGCCAAAAATGTTATGATAAAAACAACAAAGATGAGGATAATACTCCAATGTTCATGTTCACATTATGTTTTGTTTCTGTTCAAGTATATTTTCCTCTTACTCTTTCCTTATAGATTATATACCTCAAGAAGGCTGTAGAATGACTCAGCCAAAATGTAGTACTAGTAGCTACTAAAAAAACAATACTTTGATTGTTAATGACTGGTCTCAAAATTATAGGTACCTGTGCATCAGAATAACTTTGTAATAATAAATGATATTTATCTATGTAATGTTAGTAACATCTGACAGAAATATGAGATTAAATTTTTTATATGTAAAATAATTGAACTCCATCATATTAACATTGGCTGAATCAAGGGTATGTGGTTTCAGGTCTTTTTTCAAACATTTGATCCTCTAATTGCTATGGTTGTGAGGAATTCTGTTTCTCCTCTTGTAATTCAATCATTTGTATAATTCCTTATTATCTGCATGTCCTGCATGTGTATATCCTAAGTTCAGCTGTGTTCACTTCCTTGTTTCTGTTGGTGCATCCACTGACATCTTTTGAGGCCCCATTTTGTATTTGATGGCTTTGAAGTCACCTACTAATAGGTTCCTAAGGATTTTGATTTTGAGGCGACACCAAGTACAAAACTTACTTTAGTATCTCTTAGGATGAGCCCATTACGTATTGGGGTCACCACAGGTCAACTCAGATCAAAGTTTCCTGATGGATTAAATTTGATTCAGACCACTGTTAATTTCCTGGTGTGAATTGCTTATGACATCTACACCTCTTTATCTGTCCCATTACTCTGTGCAGAATCACTGGGACACTATAGATGACTTTTTTTTTTCTATTAAATGTTCACCCAATACAAGGCCCAAGAGCCACTCAACGTAGTTGGTTACTGAATGAGATTGTTGTATATGGATAGATGAGTAGGAAGTAAGAGTAGATCATGAGGATATGTAGGATAGATAATGATTGACCTGAGACTTGAAAGAGGTTAAGACTGTAAGGATTGGAGCATCATTTTCTCAAGAGTGCATTGAACAAGGTAGCAGTTCTCAGGAAGTATCAGTCTGAGAGGAACTTCCTTCTTAGCAATGAAATTGGAAGGAAATGAGAATGATAGTAATCGAGGAAGCATCCCCTCAGGAGTCTGTTCTACAAAGTAGCAGTTCTCAGAAAGAAGCTGTCTGACTGGAACTTACTTCACACCAATGGAATATAAAGGAGATTACATCCTGTTTACTTATGGTGGACCAGCTGTCTTCATCAGTCTTGTAGCTTTCTAAAATCAAATAAAAATATTTTGCAAAATGAAAAATATGAATTTATTTTAAATTATTAAACCCTTTCATTGCTAGGCTATGCAGACCTCCTCAGTAGATATAGCACAGAATTAAATACAATATGGAAACCGGACATTTTGCTGAGCGGACATTTAGCCGACAGTCATTTCACCAAAAAAGTACAAGTAAAAATAGTAACAAGCAATAATTTAAGTATTTTAATTAGCAGTATTATAAGGTAGAATAGGACTAATAATTAACACTGAATTTCAAATGATTAAATTACTAAATCTAAATTTAAAGTTAAAAATTTTCTTATTTCAATATTTGTTGATTGAAATTAGTATTTTTAAAAATATTTAAGTGTATTTGGGTAAAAAGTTGCACCTAATTATTTAAATTTATATTTAACAGTAAGATAAAATCTAGTTCATCCCTTTAATATAGTGATCATTAAAAGCGAAATTGAAAGATCTTTTATATCATAAAAGCTTAAGAGTTTTACTGTAGTAAAATGTGCCTTTTCTCAAAATACTTATCTTACAGTAATATTTGAAGTAAAATATAATATATACAGAATAAATCTTTATAAAAGCCTGTCCAAAAAAAATTAAAAAATTACAAATTAATCCAGTAAATAAATATAAATATATGTAGCACATTACAGTAAAGAGTGTGTCATACATGTAAGTATGCCACTATATTTTTAGTTAAATGTCCATCAGCCAAATGTCCAAGTACCATGGGAACCGCTAATAAGACAAATGACAGCAAATCTTCAAAGCAGCAGCAGCTGTAACCAAGCATAACAAGCAGCAGCAGTACTCATCAGCAGGCAGGTTAGGTTTAAGGCTTCAAGTTCTCCACAGAGAATTGTCCCATGGGACAATAGTGGATTAAAGTATTGGTTTGTGAATTTATTGACATAGTAATTGTGAGTTCAATCCCTGAACCGGGCAGTGTGTCCTTGGACTCAGTGGAAATAGGATGAGCAGTAACTGAGCAGTGCTAAAATAAGAACTAGACTAGTTATCATATTTAGGTATCCCTAGATTATGAGAACAATCTACCCATCTAGGTTATTCAGCTCTAGATTCTTGGAGAGCACAACAGCCAAAAACATTGTGATATATTCCGTGTGTAAATAATTTAAATAATGATAACTCTTCATGCCAGAAATTCAGAGAGAAAATAATCTTTTCATGTATTTTTCAGGGAGTTTGAATTGTGCAGCTTTCACAGCAGGAATTTTGGAGGCCATACTTAACGGTGCCAATTTT